GCCTCCTCTTTTAGTTTATAAACCTTCACCTCTCTCTTCCCTGATGCTTCTATTCTCCTTGTATCCCATCTACCTTTTACTCTCAGTGTAGCTACAACTAGAACGTGATCTGATATATCTGTGGCCCCTCTATAAACATGTACATCCTGAAGTCTACTCAACAGTCTTTTATCTACCAATACATAATCCAACAAACTACTGTCATTTCGCCCTACATCATATCTTGTATACTTATTTATCCTCTTTTTCTTAAAATATGTATTACCTATAACTAAACCCCTTTCTATACAAAGTTCAATCAAAGGGCTCCCATTATCATTTACACCTGGTACCCCAAACTTACCTACCACACCCTCTCTAAAAGTTTCTCCTACTTTAGCATTCAGGTCCCCTACCACAGTTACTCTCTCACTTGGTTCAAAGGCTCCTATACATTCACTTAACATCTCCCAAAATCTCTCTCTCTCCTCTGCATTCCTCTCTTCTCCAGGTGCATACACGCTTATTATGACCCACTTCTTATGATCCACATAATTCTTGCATTTACACATTCATATTCTCTTTTCTCCTTCCATAACTGATCATTCAACATTACTGCTACCCCTTCCTTTGCTCTAACTCTCTCAGATACTCCAAATTTATTCCCATTTATTTCCCCCCACCGAAACTCTCCTACCCCCTTCAGCTTTGTTTCGCTTAGGGCCAGGATATCCAACTTCTTTTCATTCATAACATCAGCAATCATCTGTTTCTTGTCATCCGCACTACATCCACGCACATTCAAGCATCCCAGTTTTATAAAGTTTTATATATATATATATATATATATATATATATATATATATATATATATATATATATATATATATATATATATTATATTATGGTAGGGTTGGCAGACAGCAACCACCCAGGGGGGTACTACCGTCCTGCCAAGTGTGTGAAACAAAAGCCTGTAATTGTTTTACATGATGGTAGGATTGCTGGTGTCTTGTCTGTATCATAAAATATGCAAGATTACAGGTACGTCTTGCTACTTCTACTTACACTTAGGTCACACTACACATACATGTACAAGCATGTATATATAGACACCCCTCTGGGTTTTCTTCTATTTTCTTACTAGTTCCTGTTCTTGTTTATTTCCTCTTATCTCCATGGGGAAGTGGAACAGAATTCTTCCTCCGTAAACTATACGTGTTGTAAGAGGCGACTAAAATGCTAGTAACCCCTTCTCCTGTATAAATTACTAAATTTAAAAAGAGAAACTTTCGTTTTTCTTTTTGGGCCACCCTGCCTTGGTGGAATACGGCCGGTTTGTTGAAATATATATATATATATATATATATATATATTATATATATATATATATATATATATATATATATATATTTATATATATATATATATATATATATATATATATATAATATATATTTATATATATTAATATATAAATTTTTGAACACCTTCACATTCACTGTCATTCATTCAGTTGTTGTCTTGCCAGAAGTCTGCTTGTATCACAGTTCAGATGGCCCTCCGAACTGCAGCACCCTTAACTGTCCTTCAAAATTCTATTCCGGCTAACCAGTTTTCATAAATGTTACCTTGGTCACACTCCAACAGTATGCTAAGTCACAAAAACCACTTACCTTCACTCCCATGTAACGCCCCCACACTAGTATATTGGATGTTCCGTCCCCTAGCACTCGAAACCTCCTTTCCTTCATTCACTCTGCCAGTTCCTGGGTGCCCTTCCTCCTTTCATGTGCCTGTTGAACAAATACACCAATCACTCCAAAAATTTATCCTCACCTGCTTTTCTTCATTGAGTGCAAGTTTAGTTAGTGAGGTACATATAGGTGTTCGCTGAGTTATTGCAACAAAGATATGCAATCTGTTCGTTTAACAGAACGATCGTTGTTTTATAAACGAAGATCTCAGGCTATCTAAAAGTCACAATCTATGCCAAAATTTTCAGCAAAATGGTGTAGAGAGAGAGACACACACACACGACCATCATTATTTCTGGACAAGCAACATGTAAAGTTATGGTAGCGTCAGGGCCCACCAGCCTTACCATAAATTATGACATAACTGTCATAGTTTACCGATTGATTCCAAATTCATTCATCGTTAGTGAGATGTGTTATTAGAAGAATGTGCGCTGAGGGTCGTAAAATAATGAATCTCCTGAATCTAAGAACTGTGATGCGGGGAATTACGCTATTCAACGTGCTTTAGTGGGCAGATGACTCAAACTTAGAGATAAAGAATGGGTAGTAAATGAGAAAGGTAAAGTGGTTAAAGGATGATGGACTGACACGTCATGTTCACCTCCTCACTGTTTCTGCTGCCTGCATTATTTCTCACCTCTATTCGACTGAAGAAGCCTGCAGAGCAGGGGAAACGTTTCGATATTAAAGATACCCAACTGTTGTACATGTGTATTTCTCATTTACTTTGTCGGTATTGTATACTATTATAATAGTATCTGGGATTTATGTTGTTTATCTCCCACGTGTCTTCTCGTCCTGGTCACGTTGATGTTAACTCTGTCCATGTTGTTTGTGTCCTGGAATGTTTTGTAAGTTGTGATCATTTCTAATTACCTAATGTTCATTTTAGGTAACAGTCTGGTGACGGACCTCTCTACCTTCCTTTTGATTTTCCTAGAAAGGGGCTTAATGTTGGAGCTGCGTGCTCTAAGATCGGATTTACCTTTGGTGAAAGCTTTAACGATCTTTGTTCAGATTTTTAAATGGCATTCTTAAGTTTGCTTGTCTGTAATTCTCCACTGGTGTTTATGCATGCTTTAAGATAGGTTGTGTGTGATATTGACTTCCAGGTTGTCTTAGTTTCGTGACTGAGAGATCTTTAGGTAGTTTTATTATGGGACACTACATTAATGGTTGATATATATATGTCCTTGTGCTCTCCTACCATACAAGACAGTTGGCCCTGCCAGGAATACTCATACAAGTAAATATTGAAACCGTGACTGTTGTTTTATACTGAAACAATTATTATGCAGTTATTAATGACAATAATATGTCCAATTAATGTAACACAAAATAGAAATTTATGAGGCATGATGAATTTGAACACAGCTCATGTAATACCAATCATAGCGTGTATAACATGAAACAGTTAGGGAATTGATTTTTGTGAGGCTGTCCGTCATGAATTACTGATATTCATTATTTTTTTCCTAGAAGGGTGCTCAATGAATAACAGTCTCACTGACAAATTTACGTGTCTGAGAAGAACTTTAGACTTTATCGTAGGCTTGTTTAGTGTCATAGTATACATTCGGCTGGTAGTATGAGCAAGGAGGACGCCATGAGTCCAGTGCTCTGGTATCCACGTCTTGAACACATGACCTAGGTAACAACCCTCAAGCATCCTGAACAGTTTCCTCGATGAGCTCAGTTTTTTGGTAACCGCCAGTCGTTACTATGCTTCAGCAAAGCTTTCCATAAAGCTGCTCTTCACCCTGAAATCGCTACAAGATATACAGTTATTTATGATATCTACCGACAAGATCCTAAGGTCACAAACTACCTATTAATTAGCATGTCGATTTTACCCAGTACCACAAGCAGTTTCATTGAGGTCTTGCGGTATATATCTTCACTGGTCGGTTAGGTCTAGCTGATTATTGTTATGAGTAAACAGAAAGATAGACGGGAGGTTTCGAACCGTGTTCCCGAGCCTCCCGTCTATCTTTCTGTTTATTCATTGACAGTCTTTTATTACGATTTAATCTGAGTTCATTATTTATGTTTATTTTTATGCGAGGTATTTTGGGTTGTTCCAAGGAAATGGAAAATAGCTTCAGTTCTTTTAGTACCGAGCCATTCACCAGCGTGAAGGCACTGTCCTTGAAGGAAGGTTGCACTAGATACTCGTCGAGGTGTTCTCACTAGCCAGTGACCTGTGTGAAGCAGTCTGACGAATACTGAAAGTTAATCTCTTCGTGTTGTCCTCGTTTGTCATCTTAGTGTCTAGCTGGAGTTTCTCCGTTCAGAAGAAGCAATCGGAAATATTTTAAGAAATTTTCTTATATACTTGACGCTGGTAACATAGGAGTGATCAGTCTTTACAAATTATCTTTTTGTAATGCTTCTTCTTCTTCGTGTTTACGTCTTTCCTTGCTTGACATTGTGTACAGGTGGTGTAGAGCGGGTTTCCTACTTCCTGGTATCTGTATTAGTGTCAAATATTTATTTTTCATTCACATTAACAATCTTTCTGCCTCAGGAAGCACTGTTCTTTCTTCATAACTCACGCTGAATTACCCTCAAAATTAAAACATCTAAGATGTAAACATGCGACACTTATCACTTAATTCTGATTTAGTCTAAGTGATCATGTATGGATCCGTCAATTATATATTTCAGTGTCTGGTAAAGTAATATATAGTGTTCCACAATAATTTCTTAGAACGTAGTTTTCAGTACTACAACTGTGTGTTTATGGGTAACTAACGTTGTTATTTTAACTCCAAATCTCCTGTCCTCTTCCTCTTGCTTTTTTTTCCTTACTGTTGTTTAGCTTACTTCCTTTGTCTGAATTGTAAACCTTGCCCTGCCGACCTCATCGACAGGGCAAGGAAAATATTGAAGGGGGAACTTTGCCCCCTTCAGTATTTTCCCTGGTATAAAATATGCTGTACCTTTTTCGCTTGCATTCCACTGAGTCGAGTTTTAGGGATTTTAGGAATTGCATATAATTTAGATTTTCGAATGATTATGAGATGGAGCTCTGCCGTTTTGCTTACTGTAAATAGGGCTGTTGGTGTACAGCTCATTGCTGTTATGTACAGTATAATTTCGGTGGAATTTTGACAACTCGTTCTGGAACATATCTGTATTTTTTTTCAGACTGATGAAACGGTACAACCGAACAACTGTCTTCTTTCCCTATATTCACGCTAAGGTCACCACAGCTTGTTTCTGAGTTCCTTTATTAACATTCATGTTTTTCTTCCGCAGTCACTACATGCGTCAGATCCTGGAGGCGCTGCTTTATTGCCACGAAAACGATATCATCCACCGAGACATCAAACCTCACTGCGTGCTGCTGGCCTGCAAGGAAAACAGCGCCCCGGTCAAACTAGGAGGCTTTGGAGTGGCCATTCAACTGCAGGACGGGGAGCTCGTTAATGGAGGTACGGCAACCCCACCCTCTTCCCGTTTATTACAGGGAAATTGGAGGAAGCGGGATATACGTGTTTTGTTTGCAAAGTTAGCGTAACCAACGACAACCACCATTGTTGTGGTTTATTACGGGAGGTAGGATGTGGCACGCTATACATACTCGTGTTTTAGTTTGATTAGCGAGATACGATACGGTGCAATAACCACTATCTTTTCATAGTTTGGAGGTAGGATGACGTACTATACCCACTGTATTTTTTAGTTAATTGCGGAAATTAGAACTGGATATGATATTCACCCTTTTTGTTTTAATTACAAAAGGTAGGAATAGATATAATATCAACCATTTTGTTTTTTCTTAGTTACAGAACGTAGCTTAAAATTCTACTTCAACTCTGCTTGTTTTGGATACGTGAGATGAGGGAAAATAGTCATCATTCTTCCCTTGTTTTAATAACTTTCAAAAAGCGAAATCTTTATCGCATAATGTTAGCAGACAGAGTGAGAACATAGGCATGACGTAATGGACCAGTCACCTGCGCCGCACTTGCAGTGTTCTCTAGTATAAAAACTATGTACTTCTTGTGTTCCTTTTTGACTTGAAAAAGATTGTAAATGGAGCGAAACTTTAAGGGATTGTAAATGGAGTGAAGCGTTAAGGGATTGTAAATGGAGCGAAACGTTAAGGGATTGTAAATGGAGTGAAACGTTAAGGTGTCTTGTTTGTTCCAGTAGATGTTATGCTCGCCCATCTCTACCACTTTTTATATATGGTCGCTTCAAGGATCATGTATAAAAAGTAATGAAAAGCTCTTGGTCAAAGGAATTTTAGATCACTTTCCCTTTCTTAGATCAAACCTGATGACCTTGCACTCTTGTCGTTGTCACTTGCGAGTTTAGTGCTTTCCTATGAATATAATAATAATAATAATTGATTTGAAGTGGGAGGATAACGTACGATGACTTGTTTTGCCACCTGGAGAAGCAGTCTCCAAACTGTAACCTGTTCCAGTGTGTGTCAGGAAGACTGGCATCCACCAGTAACTGGATGGGTTCAGTTTCACTTCTGTTGATTATTCTTGCCATAGTTGATTGTGTTAGGCACAGAGAAGACGACTCACTTGTATTAGCTTTAACAATAATAGATAGGATAGAGAACATACCAGTGCCTCTCTTGGTATTGTGGAAAATAGAATACCGGTGAGGTCCGGAGTACTCTTGAGGCTATAACATATCTATGTAATTTAGAGCTTTAATTTCTGCACTAAATTTCACAAACATGTCCCAAAGCCAAACGACTTAACAGAATCAGTTCAGATATTTGCAGTGTTGCTGTTGGAATGTGAGGAAGGTAACATTCATAAAGGAATTCAAGGAAACCGGTTTATCGGACTTAAGTCCAAGAGGTGGGAACAACAGTGACTTCATTTTGTAGAAGGGGTAGGGATGTTGTAGTTCGGGAAAACCATCTGAACTGCGATGTTTGCATTCATCTGGCATGACAAAGAATGAATGATGGTGAAAGTGTTTCCTCTTTTCCATGTCACACTATCTCGGAAGGAGACAGTCAGTGTGTTAAAAACATTACATTGTAAATGCTCGATTAGACCAAAATGCAAAATGAATTTGCAGCGAATGCGAATAATTAAATTGAATTGTATCTTCAGGTGTGTTTAACTGGGATGCTCTGGTCTGGCAAAAAAAAAAAAAAGATAGGAACGGTGGTTCGTTTTAAATGGTTTGTTCATAAGGGTAAATTCCTGTTCTGTGGGAGGGGTGTCACAGCATCTTGAGGGAGGGTGGATGGGACGGCATCTTGAGGGAGGGTGGATGGGACAGCATCTTGAGGGAGGGTGGATGGGACGGCATCTTGAGGGAGGGTGGATGGGACGGCATCTTGAGGGAGGGTGGATGGGACGGCATCTTGAGGGAGGGTGGATGGGACGCATCTTGAGGAGGGTGGATGGGACAGCATCTTGAGGGAGGGTGGATGGGACGGCATCTTGAGGGAGGGTGGATGGGACAGCATCTTGAGGGAGGGTGGATGGGACGGCATCTTGAGGGAGGGTGGATGGGACAGCATCTTGAGGGAGGGTGGATGGGACGCATCTTGAGGGAGGGTGGATGGGACGGCATCTTGAGGGAGGGTGGATGGGACGGCATCTTGAGGGAGGGTGGATGGGACGGCATCTTGAGGGAGGGTGGATGGGACGGCATCTTGAGGGAGGGTGGATGGGACAGCATCTTGAGGGAGGGTGGATGGGACAGCATCTTGAGGGAGGGTGGATGGGACGGCATCTTGAGGGAGGGTGGATGGGACAGCATCTTGAGGGAGGGTGGATGGGACGGCATCTTGAGGGAGGGTGGATGGGACGGCATCTTGAGGGAGGGTGGATGGGACGGCATCTTGAGGGAGGGTGGATGGGACAGCATCTTGAGGGAGGGTGGATGGGACAGCATCTTGAGGGAGGGTGGTGGGACAGATCTTGAGGGAGGGTGGATGGGACAGCATTTGAGGGAGGGTGGATGGGACAGCATCTTGAGGAGTGTGGACGGCACTTGAGGGAGGGTGGATGGGACAGCATCTTGAGGGAGGGTGGATGGGACAGCGTCCACCACAGACTGCTTAACTTAACCCAGCATCTCTCTTGACATAAAGGGAGAGGGTAAATTTGCTGACACAATGAATTGGGCTATGGACTGCGAAATATAAAAATAAATTGTGAATGTTTTAACCTGGTTCGTGATTATGATTTATGTAATATGAAAGTGAATGGGTTGCGACAATTGAAAGTAAATGATAAGTGTAATGTAATATAAAGATGTTGCGACAATTGCAAGTACATAATGATAGTGTAAATCTGGTAATATTTAAAACCGAATGTTTAAAACGCTGAATAACCAAAACTTTGAGTGTTATATTTCTTTATTTATTTAGCAAGGAGAAAAAATCAGACATAGGTCTGTGTCATGAGATAACCTGTTTAATAACGTTATTATTATGGTAGAGGCATAGCAAGACTGAAGACAGGTGATGATGGTGGTGCCGAATGACCCTTTGGCGATCCATGGCAGTAGCAATCACTGAATAATACAGGTTTGAGTGGAAAAAAGTTACTATTTTTTTTTTTGACTGAGGCATGCGGAGTAACTCAGTGGGAGTGCAGTATACAAACTTTCCACAAACACTAACTCTCAACCAATCAGGGTAAGGCTTCAGGCGCATCAAGAGACGCTCGCCATTTTACTTTATTAGAAGGCAGGAATCTGTGTTTATTTTTTAAAACAAAATCAGGCACCCCAGCCTTGCTATCCTACTATGTACATATAATAGTAACATAGGGGAAACAAAAGTGAGTTATGCTTTTCTGTTTTATTTATCACACATGGGAGTGAGAGGCATGGTAAAAAGTGCAAAACATCCCAATGAAAGACTGTGTACAATACATACACTTATAGCTGATAACTTTGTAAGCATAGAGAGTTGAAGGCTTTAAAAAATCCTTCGAACATAAGAGGAATTACAGAAAATCCCTTTCTGTATTATAGAGGAAATTTGACAATTTCCTGACAACTTTTTCAGTTTTTAGCCTGGTTGTAAATGCTTACGTCGGACTGCGTAGTGCTAGCACCAGTAGCCTGCCTGATCAGGCTGTTTAAGAACGGGCCACGGTATATGATCCCTGGTGAGTTCTTGTGAATTGGTACATGAAGTGTGTGGTTCCAAGGACTGGGGAGGACCTACGCTCAACCATTGTGTACTGACGCCACATATTGGAGAATTTGATTTTTGATGCCGGTGAAAGGTTCTTGATTCTTTGTATTACAGTTACGTTCCCTGCCATTCTGTGGATCAGACCTGATGCCCTCTCATTTACCAAGGGTTGTATGAACCTTAAGAATCTACCTCTTTTCCATGAATATAATAAAGATGGTTGGCAGCGAAGGTTGAGATGCCATAAGTGTACAGTGGCCTCGGGCGCACCCAGCAGTAAGCAGTCGCTGGATCTATACCTTGAAGAGTCCTCACCTGGTCGAACAGCACAGCGAGGGATGACGGCCTAGCGCATTACTTTGCAACTAAAACTACCGTAGTTGTATCTCTCGTCTTTTATTTACCTGTCTTCCTTTACCCTAAGGAGGGGGGATCTTTGTGTTTAATACAAAATAATAACTGCAATACTATGTAGTAGCTACCATGCGCTGTATTGTAGCAGCGACCTCAGCTCAGTTTAGCATTTACAATATAGTCTTTTGACAGTACATGGTATGGGAATAGCGACAACTTTTCGTTGATAGACAGGTAGGCAAAGAAGCTTTCAGTTGCTGTTTGTGTCTTTTTATCTCCGATGGAGGTAGCACATACAACACACCAGACATAGTGATGTGAGCTATGTTGTTGGAGGTAGCACATACAACACACCAGACATAGTGATGTGAACTATGTTGTTGGAGGTAGCACATACAACACCAGACATAGTGATGTGAGCTATGTTGTTGGGGGTAGCACATACAACACACCAGACATAGTGATGTGAGCTATGTTGTTGGAGGTAGCACATACAACACACCAGACATAGTGATGTGAGCTATGTTGTTGGAGGTAGCACATACAACACACCAGACATAGTGATGTGAACTATGTTGTTGGAGGTAGCACATACAACACACCAGACATAGTGATGTGAGCTATGTTGTTGGGGGTAGCACATACAACACACCAGACATAGTGATGTGAACTATGTTGTTGGAGGTAGCACATACAACCCCAGACATAGTGATGTGAACTATGTTGTTGGAGGCAGCACATACAACACACCAGACATAGTGATGTGAACTATGTTGTTGGAGGTAACACATACAACACACCAGACATAGTGATGTGAGCTATGTTGTTGGGGGTAGCACATACAACACACCACACATAGTGATGTGAGCTATGTTGTTGGGGGTAGCACATACAACACACCAGACATAGCGATGTGAGCTATGTTGTTGGGGGTAGCACATA